TGTACCTACCTATATAGTTTAGGCTCTCAAAAGAAATTTCAATCATTGTACTGTTGATATTTGGCTCTGTTGACTAACGAGTTTGCCGACCACTGGTATAGACCGATTTGAAACCCATTTGCTCAGAGGTCAGTGTCTGCACCTTCCACCATCCCACTTCACTTTCTTGGCCCTGGTGTGAGAGGAGAGAGCACTGTGCTGTGGTTTGTAGCTTCCAGCCCACTAAGAAGCTCAAGCTAGGTCCTCTTTCTCCTTTTCTGGCCAGTTCTTACTCTTTCATCATTTCAATACCTGCTTATTTCTCCCCATACATTGTAAGCTTAGTTGAGGACAGGTATTGTGGCTTCTTGATTTTTAATATCCTCTCATACCAGGGACATCTCTGTTTGCAGGGCATGTCTAGAAGGAAGGCAGGATAAAATGGTCATAGTGGAGGGGTTGTTGTTGTTGCTTATTTGTTTTAGGGCAATAAGTAAAAAATAACTCAATTATCATCAATAGATTTTCTTGTTGGTGTTCATGGAGAGTGCATATGTTTGCCACCGTGAGTAAAATCATAAGGATTGCGTGGGTTGAGAATTCACTTACTCTGTGTCAGGCACCTGAGTACCCCTTGAGGTTGATAGTGTTATTCCAATTTGCTCAGAGCTGGGAGTTCAGTGCAGGCTTATTCATCTTTGCAGTCTCTTTTAAACACTAACCTATTATATCTTTTGTCATAGTTGACACCAGTTACTAAAATTAAGAAAATTTTTGTAATTGCACAGAAAACCAACATTGTATTTCCCTTATTCTCTTGATAGTTCTGTCTTTAAATGTGTTGAGATCAGGAAGTTGCCCAAGTCAGTTTTGGTTTCAGCTATGTCTCTGTTTTAAATATTTCAGAAGTCTTTCACATTTCTGAAATTTTCATTTCTTTCTTTAGAAATGCTCTATATAAGCTTGTTTAAATCTAAAACTATCTATTTTGAGGGACTGAGATCATGTCTGATTTGCTCACTGAGCTAATTTCAACCTCTTATATTGCCTGGTACATAGTAGATACTTACTAAATACTTGTTGGACAAAGATGTCAAAATCAGAAAAATGCCAAGATTGGATATAGAAACAAATGACTCTTTCAATGATGAAACAATACCAGAAAGTAACAAAATGTCTCAAGAAAATGAAATTGGGAAGAAATGTGAGATAAGAAAGAATTATTATGGTCAACTAAAGAAGAACCACCTAACAACTGTTAATGTAAGAAACATTCAAACCTGCAAAGAATTTTTGTGAGTTTATTTGAGGCAAAATGTCAATTGCCAGGAAGCAGAATCTCAACATATTGAGGTAATGCTCCAGAGAATGGTGGTGTTTCACCTTGTTTTATACATTACAATCAAAGGAGGAGGTGTAAGTGGGTTACATGAAGTCCATTAGTGATAGGTTAGGGAGGCGGGAGAAAGCAAAGTGGGGAAACCTCTGGGATTGGATAAACAGTAAAATGATAGACATATGCTTCTTTTACATAGGTGGGTACAGAATAGTTAACAGCAACAATTAGCATGATAACAGTAACAATGAGGGAATTTGTGGTCGCTGCCTTGGCACCCTGGTACACTGGTTGTGCCCTGAGAGGTCTGAAAAAAGGGAAGTTACAAGTTACCCTGACATTCCAAAGATATCTTCACTAATAAAAGAGAAAACATGCAAATTAACCATCACTCCACCACTCCGCTACACCCACCAGCCAATCAGGAGCGAGTATGCAAATTAACCCAACTAAGATGGCGGCGGCCACGGAGCTGGAGCAAGCAAGAGGCTTGGGTTGCCCCCAGAGATGGAGGAAGCCAAGCTTCCTGCCTTCCCTGGCCGGCCCTGGGCTCTGCTCAAGGCTACAAAGTTTCAATTAAAGAAGATAAATAAATCCCAGATACCTGCTTCCAGCCCACCCTGGCCTCCACTCAAGGAGGCACTGAAAAAAAAAAAAGGAGAGGCTGGGAGCATGGGTCGCCAGGGGGCGTGGCCAGCCTGAAAACGGCCATCAGCCCCTCACCCAGGCTGGCCAGGCACCCCAGCGGGACCCCCAACCCTGATCCGGGACACCTTTCAGGGCAAACCAGCTGGCCCCTACCCATGCACCAGGCCTCTATCTATACTAATAAAAGGGTAATATGCTAATTAGACTGGGAGACCTTCCAGGAGACCTTCCAGATGTTCTTCTGGACAAAGCCATGGTGGCGGGGCCGAGGTAGAGGCAGTTAGAGGCCAAGAGGGGAGGGCAGTTGTGGCTGATCAGGCCAGGATGGGACAGCAGTTGTGGGTGATCAGGCTGATGGGGGGCGGGGCCATTGGGGTAAGCAGACCAGCAGGGGGGCCAGTTGGGGGCAAGCAGGCCA